TATTATTATTATTATTATTATTATTAAACGTAATCATTTATTTTCAAACTGATAATGGGTGAATGAATCAACGAATGATGTGACAAATGAAAAATTCACCTTCTCAACTTTTTACAGCACCTTCCTTTCAGCCTCAGGCAGCAAAGCGTCTTGGGCTAATCCAAAAAGACGACATCTGTGCTGCAGAAATAATCCAGGTTGACACCACTTTAACTGCCTTGGCTCATTGCTATGGAATCCTGGGATTTGTAGTTTGTTGTGGCACCAGAGCTCTCTAGCCGAGATGGTTAAAAGTCTTGGAAAACTACAATTCTCAGAATTCCATAGCATTGAGACATAGCCGTTAAAGTGGTGTCAACCGGGATTATTTCTGCAGCACAGATGCAGATGATGTTCTCACATTCAGTGTGTGACATCTCCAATTAAAAGAAGAAGGAAGCATATGAAGGGCTTCTAGAAAGGATGAGTAAGGAAATATACCCATATATATATATAAATAATGTTATCAAAACTATGTGATGATTTCTTCTTGTCAAACAAATGCAAGTGCATTTTTAAAGATATTTAGGGAGCCCCCCCCCCCCCCATGGTGATAAAAGCAGTGAGATGAGAGAATAACACACTAAAGTTTTGTTCCAAGTTTTGGTCCAGACTAGACCAAAAAGAAAAGAAAAATACAGTATCTTGTTTCAGTGAAAATGACAGCAACTGATACAGAGCTTTGAAAGTTAACTGGAAAGTATTTACCATTCCTGTTCCTTGCTCTCTCAAAACAGTTGGCTAGTGATAGTGCTGTTTTTGAAAAAGGTAACTCATTACTTTATTGCTATTGCTAAAACTGTTATCTTTTAAAAAACACCAAAATACTAGATTGGTCTTGAAGACAAAACACATGATAGCACTGAATCCACGTAAACTCTAATAATAATAATAATAACGCTTCCTCTACCTGTCCCACCAATAAGGCTACTTGTCTGATAACTACCCCATGTTAAGTTGCTATTGTGAGGTAACTTTTAGTTATAGCTCAGTTATTACAAAAAATAATCAGTTTCTCTTACTTGTAATGAGAGAATTATACACTGTGACCCGAAAAGGAACTGGCATTGATTCACTGAGAGTGTCAATCATTGGGTTTCTGTCATGCAAAACGTTGGCTGAAATTTCAGTATAAAGTTTCATCGTGCCAAACAGCTGAGTCAGAGTGAAGGCAGACATTATTCTATTTCAATGAGTTCAGTTTCTAGGCTACATTGAACTCTTACATACAAGAAAAACCAGGATGCAACTGCTCATGAGAGCAAACACACCAAGACATCAAAGTGTTCATAAAATTATCAGTTTGAATTTGTTTTTTCATTAGTTTTCCATTCCATAATTCCTCCCTCCCCATATTTTGGCTGTTTCTCAGTTTCTATTTTTATTTGGGAGAGATTATCAGAAGTGCTTTTATATACTGAGTTTCATCCAATGATGTCATTCCATTCACAAATGAGTACCAGATTGAGCAGAATCTGCCATTAACACAGTGGTAGGCATCTGTCAGAATTTGGTGGCCACATTGTTCCTCATCAGACCTTTCAGGGGCACATTTCCTCCTTCCAAAAGGGCATGGGAATGGTCCAGGGGGCTTCAAGGGGTTAGAAAAAGTACCCTCTGAGCAACTACTGGATCAGAAGATCTTATGAAACAGGTACCACTTAGTGCAGCCTTCTATAATACAGTTCTTGGACATATTACATGTGAAAGGGATCTAGGAGTCCTAGTAGACAACAAATTAAACATGTTGATGCAGCAGCTAAAAAAGCCAATGCAATTCTAAGGTGCATCAACAGAAGCATAGTATCTAGATCAGGGGTAGGCAACCTTTCCCCTTTAAGGACCGAGGGGCTTCAGTTCCCAGAAGCCTCAGTCATGTTGGCCAATAGTCCCATATTGGTCAATAGCTCCTGGGATTCTGGGAACTGAAGTCCCTTGGCCCTTAAAGGGGAAAGGTTGCCTACCCCTGATCTAGATCCAGGGAAGAAATATTGTCACTCTATTCAGCTTCAGTCAGGCCTACCTGGAATATCGTGTCCAGATCTGGGCACCACAATTCAAAAAGGATGTTGACAAGCTAGAGTGTGTCCAGAGGAGGGCGACCAAAATGGTGAATGGTCTAGAAACCATGCCCTTTGAGGAGAGACCAAGGGAGCTGGGTATGTTTAGTCTGGAGAAGAGAAGAATTAAGAGGTGATATGGTCACCCTGTTTAAATATTTGAAGGGATGTCACATTGAGGATGGGGCAAGCTTGTTTTCTGCTGCTCCGTAGATTAGGACACAGAGCAATGGATGCAAACTACAGGAAAAGAGATTCCATGTCAACATTAGGAAGAACTTCCTGACAGTAATGACTATTTGACAGTGGAACATGCTGCACTGGAGTGTTGTGGAGTTTCCTTCTTTGGAGGTTTTTAAACAAGGCAGGATGCCCATTGTGTGTTCCTGCATGATAAGGAGTTGGACTCTCTTCCACCTCTATGATTCTATGATCCTAAATAAATCTATATCCAGGTCCACAAGCACAGAAGCTCTCAAGGAACAATGTCCTAGGACTCATCTACAAATGCCAGAATACTCTGGGCTGCCTATGGAGTATTCTGGGCCCGAATTCCCCCCAAATGAGCCCCTTACCTTGCAGGTTTTGCCCAGCGATGACAGTCAATTGCCTTCCCACATGGTTCCTGTTTGTCACATGGCACCACTGCTGAGGTCAGAACAAGGTACCCAGCCACACTATCAACCTTGGGCACCTTGTTCTGACTGTATAGTGACTTGTGCCCACATCTTTGGCTGTGAGTGAAAAAGTTGCTGAAACTTCCCTCTGAAAACCCAAAGCACCATGAGGTATTTAGATGCATATTAGAGAAAAGATGTCCCAAATCAGATGTAGGCATCATGAAGCCAGTGTAGACCTAATTCAGGGTTTTGACCCTGCATCACATAAGTAGGATGGAGCGAGCAGGGGGAGGACTCCAGGTAAATCACCCATGTAGACAAGGCCCATAACAGGGAAACACAGGGAAACAGGAGAGGGAGAGAAAGGGGTTAGCTGGACCGTTTGCTTCCTTTTCTGCAGACGGGAAGCCAGAATTAACAGTAAGAGATAATGCTATAGCCATTTATCACAGTCACTGCCCTTGGGTGCAAACTGTGGTTACATTATCTCTTTTTATGATGTCATAGTTTTGACATCCTGTTTTGTATCATATATTATGTACCTTGGCATTTCTCTATGAGCTTTGGCTGATGGCGAATGTTAGATAAATGTAAATGTATAGAAAAGCAAGTGACTTTGGACTTCCCTGCAGAGAATAATAATGCAAATTATCTTTCCTTTTCAGCCACAGATCACACCTTCCCAGGATTAGGGCTGCACATTTTAAATAATGTTTGAACACACTGGGTTTAAGAAAGTTTCATAAACATTTGGAACTGTTTTGTTATCTTGTCAAAATATTTCGTACTTGACACATTTAGATGCTTGTACTCAATTGTAGATTAAATTCCGTGCTATGTTTTAAAATCTTTCCTCTAGAATTAGCTTTGTTAGCATTATCCTTCAAGATAGAGATTAATTCTGATGTAGTTCAGGGCTGAAAATGCTTCTGGAGGTTTTTTGGACATGTGGTTTATCCGTTTTAATCCTGACTGAATTTACACCAGTACAAGTCTCAAAGAAAGGGGGGGGTCAGCATAGTAGTAGTGGTTTGAGCAATGGATTACAACTCTGGAGACCAGGGTTCGAATTCCTGCTCAGTCATGGAAACCTACTGAGTGACTTTGGGCAAGTCACATTCTCTCGGCTTCAGAGGAAGGCAAAGGCAAACTGCCTCTCAACAAATTTTGCCAAGAAAACCCCATGATAGGAAATTGGAAATGACTTAGGCAGTGGCATCACTAAGGTTGGCATCACTTGGTATGGTAACTCATGGTGTCATCCTGCCCCACTGACCTCCTTCCATACCACACCCATACAGACTTCTTAGCAATGTTTTTTATATTAGTGTTACTCATAAATTGTAATTCCCATATATCACTGAGGTAATGGGAATAGTTGTGACATAAAAAACTAGCAAAATTAAAATTATACCTTTAAATTATAATATCTTAAGCCCAACTTATGCATGATAGTGCCACCCCTAGCCTTTGGCTTGGCAGACACAGAAAGCCTGGACAAGATGGAGCCGGGGC